GGGGGGGGGAGGGGGGGGGGGGGGGGGGGGAGGGGGGGAGGGGAGAGGGAAAAAGAGGGGGGGGGGCAACTTTCAAGACAAAATTAAAAACAAACTTTTATCACATCAATACAGATATAAAAATCGAACTATATATAGAACTATACCCAGTAATTACCCGAGAAACCTCCATGGTCCATGACCTATACTCTTTTAGTTCGTTGAAGGCATCGTCGGCCGGCTGCTAACTTAAACTAGCTGCATTTTATTAGCTCGAAATGAGCCTAATTTTTATTTGCTGTAATAATTTAATAAGCTTTGATAATATTAATTATTATTTATAAGTATTATTATTAGCCTGTAATCAGTGGCGTAGCTAGGGTTGGTGTCACCCGGTGCGGTAAACTCATGGTGTCACACCCCCCCCCCTCCCCAATTTCCATGATGATTTTTTTTTCTTGTTAAATATAAGTCCACAATATTGCAATAACAAGAACAAAAACAAATAAATCGAAGGTCATGAAGTTAATATATTTAAAAACGTTAAGTTATAGCTGTATTTAATTTTAATTTTACAATTTAAATTTTTCCCTCACTTGTCTTCAAAGCTGCAAACCTGTCAATCACTTTATCAAAATCAATGTTTTTCACTGTATCACTTTCAATTGATACCAGAGCCACATCAGAAAACCTTGACTGTCACATGGTGGATCATAAATATTTCTTGATAAGCCTTAATTTTGAAAAACTCCGCTCACATAAAGCCACATACACACATATCGTAAGAAATAATTAAAGCGAGAGTATTGGAAGAGATTCTAGGGAGTCCCATTCAGCTTTGAATTTCAAAACATAAAATACTGACCAGTCCATAACTTTGAGAAATCAGCTGCTTTTAGATGTCTTCTAAGCCTTGATATTTCTTTTTAAAGTTCATCTTCTGATAACTCATCTTTGAGCAGCCCTGTGAGTCCCTCCTGTGAGTCCCTCCTGGTGGGCAGGTGAGTCCCTCACCAGACCCTTGCCAGAGGAGCAGCCCTCCTGTGGCACGGGGCAGGTGAGTCCCTCACCAGACCCTTGCCAGAGGAGCAGCCCTCCTGTGGCACGGGGCAGGTGAGTCCCTCACCAGACCCTTGCCAGAGGAGCAGCCCTCCTGTGGCACGGGGCAGGTGAGTCCCTCACCAGACCCT